AGTCATATTATAACATCGACTGAGATAAAGAATAAAATGAAATATTAAAAACACGATTTATCTCGCTGCATTGCGCGAGTACTCTTCTAGTAATACAATATAAATTTATATATATTCCCCAAAAAAATGTGTATTATTACATAAAAATAAGGGGTTTCCTTACTTTTTGCCTTTTATTTATATCACAAACGCTCTCAATAATAAATTTCTTAATGTAGTAGTGGGCCCCACCGTCGACGGCTTTGATTTGCGGCACTTCATGGAATAGTGTATATCCGCATGTACATAATCATTTCCAATCTCAGAACCGAGATAAAACTTAAAAGAACCATCGTCGGAGGTTTCCACTCGGATCCGATCGCCACCGAGTCGATACCGATCCGAATCAGTTATTAATAGATGGAGGGAGTTGGGGCGCGACTCGGCCGATCCTCGACTCGGTACGGACCAGCCACCGTGTTTACAGGCCCGGTAAGGAAGTGGAAGAAGAAGTGGGTTCAGGTAACGCCGTCCAACACTGCCGCCGCCGCCGCCGCCGCATCCAGTAATAATCACCAACATCATCACCAACCTACCGTTAGTAGCAATGGAAATTCTTCTTCTAATGGAGGTAATGAGAACGGCGCTCATCTTTTGCTATATAAGTGGACTCCTATTAGTCAAAGCCAAAACAACACCGCCGACAACAACGGCAATGGTGATGCCAAGGATGACGATACCGCCGCCGAAGTGGATGAAGAGCCGCCTCGTCGTAAGATTAAGTATATTCCGGTATCAATCCATCACTTTTTATTGAAATTCTGATGATTATTGTTGTTTGATCTGATTGTTAGGTTACGTGCGTGGATGTAAAATTTTAATGTTTTATTACAAAAACGAGATCTACTAGTATAAGGAAAAATTACAGGCCATACGTTAAATATTCGTAAACAGCCAGTATACAGAACACAAATCCAAATTTTAATTGGCTTAAATTGAAGAACATTGGTGCCAGTTTAAGTGACCAACAGTAAATTAGGGTTTATGTTGTTATCTTTGTAATGAAATCCCCATAAGGTTGACTATATGAGGTATGGAGTTTGAAAGAATTAGAGTAGTCTTGGTATGTTTCATCTTTTAACTGTTGAGTTCTGAATTGCAGAAGGGAGACTCTAGGATTTTCTATAGATTGCATATGGGATGGTAGGTATGTTAAATGATAGAACTTATTAGTTATTATGACAAGCATGTATAGGTGGTTTGAAATTTGAATCGGAGCTCAAATCATTCGATATGTGAAGAGACTCTTGAATGATTCAAGTTTGGGGGCATTGTAATATTTTTGACAGAGTCTTTAGTGTTCGTGTTTTCTTTTGCATATGTGAAAAAAATCATATATGCCTAAGCATATTTCCCTGATATAATTCACAAAAAAACACTAATCCTAGCCACTATGTGGACATGATGCATCTATATTTGATCCTCAAAGATGAATAAGATCCATTAGTAGAAGAGGTATGTGTTTTTGTACACCCTTGAATTGAACAGATGTGCAAAGAATGCATAGAGAAAAACTGAACTTACGCTCCTGTGAAATGGGGCAATGATGCCTCTCACAAGGAAGTATTAGTGTATAAGAACCCCTGCAAGAAATGTGGAACAACAATGCAAGCTAAGAAAAACACAAATGGAAAACAAATAGGGGAGATTCTTGCCAATAGAGATGAATCCTTCCCCTAAGCTTTATTGTGTGTTTTTGAGTTGTGGAAGTGAGATTCTAAGATTAAATCCTGATTAGTATCATAAGGTAGAAGAATTGTGTTCAACATAAAAGGCATGTCTTTTGCTCGAGTGTGTGTGTGTGTTTTGAGTGGGGGGAAGGGGCTGCCAAGATTACAAATTCAATAAAATATTGCGAACATTATAATTTCAATAAAATTGTTCAGATCTTTAAATTAAACAACATGTGGGATACAGTCTCATCCTTTTTTACTTTTGAGTAATACAATGTGCTGTAGAAGTCGTTGCTAACATGGAGTCTGAAATTATAGAAGTGTAGGGTTCTATGTTTCATATCATAACATGATGATTCCCGACTGTATTATCCAACTAAAGGACTGGGTTTTTGGGAAGGATGATCAGGTATAAACTTTGTTGATTGCTTTCTAAATTAGGTTTGGCAGTAATGAAATCTCCGTCATGATTGCCATCGAGGCAATGGTGAGTTTGAGATGTTTCCAAGTTTTCTTCTAAAACTTCAATCTACTGTTGGTCTAAGATTCTTTTCGTATTGAAATTTTTTATCTTCGGAGAAATTGTCATTCTGTGACTTACATTTATGTATTAGATTGGATATATGCATACATGCAAGGAGATGGGGTACATTGGAAATTCAATTTGACAGCATGATTAGGTATTTGTAAATCTTTCATATCAATGGCATCATTTATTACATAAACTCTACATTGAGTGAGGAAGTTTCTCCTTATTATAGGCCATTTAGATATTTGATCATTAGTATGTATATTTATTAAACAACGTGCCAAGTTAAATGTTGCATTTGTTTTTAGGCAGAAGGAATACAATATAACCTTTCAGTTGTTAATTTGCTTGTTGAACTGTAAATCTATGGCGAATCTTGCTTTTGGTCGTTTTCTTTTTCTTTTGCAAAAAATGGGGCAATACTGAAACATCGGATTAACGACCATCTGAAACGAGTCTTGAGTTTGAGAGGGGGGGGGGGGGTGCACATCTAAAGGATAGTGCCATAAATGTGACCAATCTACAATTGCTTATTTGCCTGTTGTCACAAATTATTTGTAGCGCAGACTCTGTCCTACAAAGTTACTTTCTTTTGTCAAATGATATCTTTATATAATTATTGCTTAATTAATAATCAAATACTTGCATTGAATCATATGTCCAGTAAAACATTGTATTTTGGGACAGATGGACTATTATTAAATGATTTAGCAAGGGCCTTTTCATGTTGCATGATGGTTTCTTGTCAATGGCTTACATCAGATAGCCTTACTCGAAGAACAAAAGAAAGAGTCATCAGAGGAGCATATTGAGGAACCCATTGAGACTGAGCCGAATGCTTTAGCAGACCCAAATTCAAAAGGGGATTGTATTAATGAAAAACCAGACATTAATGATGTACCAATGGAAGAAAATCAGGTAACTCAGGTTCGCCATGTTTTTTTTCTTGTTTTTAAAAGACCCAAGAGACCACATCATCTGAGGGTGAAACTTTTGGTGCTCAATTGTTGCCATAACAAACCAAACCAAACCAAACCAGCCCTAAGTCTTACGTTAGATAGAGGAACGTGTTTGCCTTATTATTTTTTGTTTTGACTAGATGTCGACCTTAGTTTCACTTGCTTTTACTGTTTGCTAGCTGTAGAGTATGTTTGTTAGCAGCTTAATCAGCTTAATGGGACTCACAGTTTATTTGGTCAGTTATATATGACTATTTGGTAGCGGCTTAATGGTATATAAAGTGGTTTATTCAGTAAGCTTCTGGGGGAGCTTTATGCAGAAGACCAATCTTTTCCAAACCTGCCCCTCCCAATTAAAAAACACGCTCCTTCCATCCTTAAAAAAAAAACCCTCTCAAACAAAAACATTCTCAATCTATACAGACAGATTAATCCACACAGACAGCTTTATCCATACAGGACATAAATGGAAAACCAACCAAACAGCCCCATGGTGTTTCTCCTGCTTTAGTAGTTTGTTTCATCGCTTGTTTGTGCACATTTCTCTGCTACTTACCTCACTTGTTTCCTGTTATTTTTTGTTTTACAAATCGAGTGTCTTCACGGAAACAACCTGTCTACCCCTTGGGTAGATGTAAGGTTTGCGTACATCCTACCCTTCCTGGATCCCACCTTTTTGTGGGTATACTGGGTTCATCTTGTTTGGTTTTGGTGGGGTCTAGAGAGTGAGATGTATGTAGACCTCACCTCTACTCCAAAGAGTCCTACTTTCAAAAATGTGTGAGAAAAAAAAATTAAACTTAAGAGTTTCAGAGAGATTGTCAAAAAGCTTGAAGAAACAAGGAAAGAGTACAAAAGTGAAGATCTTGGTCAACGTCGACACGCTAGGATAATTCATTAGATGATATTTATAAGCATGAGATTCGAACTCGAGATCTCTAAGTTATCTAGCAAAGTTGGGTGGTTAGCGTGGAATCCCTGCGGCCCAAAATAAATGTTCACAATGAAAAAGACATATTTTTTTAATTAACTAAATGACAATTTTACCCTTAACAACAGAGGGAGTAATGAATTTCTCCATTTCCTACTTAAGGGTAGAGTTGGGAATTAGACATTTATTTTTGGGAGTATTTGCAGTTGAATTTTGTTTCTAAAATTACCTTTATTTTCTAGGTTCCGGAAGAGATGAATGTAGGAAGGCAAGATCTGAACGAAAGCACGTTGGATCTGAATGCTCGTGACGACGAAGAAGAAGAAGAAGATTCGGAAGAAACGAAAGATGAAGCACGATAAATCATGTACCGAATTATTTTTAGGATGAGAGAGTGGTGGAATACATGTTTCCAAAAACTGAGGTTATTGATGAAGCATAGGAGAATGAAAACATTTGACTGAATTCAAATATTGAAATGTTTGTGGACCAAATGGAAGAGAATATGGTTTCAATTTGTATGGATGATGCATTTGCAGGTGTACTTTTTTTTTTTCAGCATTGATTCTGAAACAATATCTTTTCTTTATACTGCTTTTGATTCAAGTAAGAATTTGTAAACTTAAAATTGGATTTTATGCAAGCAAGAGAGCATACTTCATCCTCTACCGGTCTCGCATCCATCATGAAAATGAAAATTTTGATTGTATGGTGGCTGGAATCGAACCCGACTCGTCACTATGCTTCCCCGTTTCCTTAGAGATTTTCTTTTTCCGTTTAGATAGTTCGGCAACCTTATTCGATTTCTTTAAGTTTAGCAGACTAGGGGCTCATTTTCATTTAGAATCAAGGAAGCATCGAGAGCACACCTCCTATTCATAATGAATTGGATGAAACATTTATCATGAATGTTGTATACGATTCATGTTTGTATTTCTAATGAATATGGACAAAGACATGCTCTAAATGAAAATGAGGTTTCTAGCATATGCTCCATCCAATGGACTATATTGAACTTTTGATAAATTGCAAGGATCTTGTATCATTTTTTCTTTTAGCAAGGTCTATATTTAATAATTAAATATCTAAAATAATTTTAACAATACATGATTAAAAAAATTGTAAATCATAATTAATCTTGCTAATATCACATAATGTAACATTCTCATTTTCAAACCAATGTAAAATATAACGTGAAATGTGTTGACTGAACAAACGGCATCGTGTGGAACATTTTATCCAGTAAGTGCTTACCAGGTAAGAGTTGTCACTCTCACTTACCGGGTAAGACTTTCGATCTTTGTTATCACTTTCACTTACCGGATAAGATTCTCAATACTTGTCATATTCATTGAAATGGTTGGTTGGTGTAATTATCAACATTTCAAGGAAATGAAATGAAAAGGTTGAATTAGATGCTACATATTATTTTAGAACAAGCATCAAACTTCAATTCAAGACTAATGAATGGAAAATAATTCTTCAAAAAACAAATGTTAAGAATAACATAAAACTTGAGAGAGCAAATCATGTTTATAAGATCAACTTGAGTTTTTCGTCATCATTCCTTTATAGAAGCAGTCTCCTCTTCGTTAAAATAGTCATGCCTGAAACACGAATCCATACAAACACAACGATTAGGCCGTGATTCTATCCACAACGATATCACAATCTGTTTCCAATATCAAATTCAATACCATTTTCTTAATTTTTCAACAAACTTGAACAACATGAATATATATATATACACACACACACACTACGGGTTGGGCTGATGTAAGAATGAAAGTTATGGTGACAAGGGTGAAAAGGGATCTCCACCCTTGGATCATTTCTAATTGAAGATCAACACTGATGAGATGCATCAGATCAATTCTTATGAGAAGCGCAATTCATGGAGTGGGGGTGAGATTAAAAGTGATCAAGGGTCTAGATCCCTTCTTATGCTTTTGACCTTAACTCATATTGACATTTCGTCTATATACTACAAATAAGAAAAATATACGGATAAATTTGTAATGATTTTGATGTCAGTTTTGAACTTGAAACTAATAAGGTTGACCTAAGAAGTCAAAATCTTCTGGTTTTTCTTAAGATAACCAAGCCAAACGAACCTAGTATATTCCAAACAGAGGTGGGGTCCAAGGAGGGTAAGATGTAAGTAGACCAGATCTCTAACATAAAGAATAGAGAGGTTGTTTTCGTGACTTGTGAAAAGTGTGACAAAGAGTGATAGTTGATATGACATAATTTTGAAAAGTTGGTTAACAGTAAGCAATAACATACAAAATTCATTTTAGGAAAGCTTTTACTTATAATTATTCTCTACGTCCCAAAGTAAATGTCCACTTTCAAAAGTAAGTGTCTACTTTCTAATTTTACCCTTACCTATGTGATACATAAATTCAATTACTTCCTCTATTATTTAGGATAAAATTATCATTTAGTTGATTAAAAAGTGTTGTAATTACAAATTTCTAAAACTGTGCTTTTTTCGCTGTCGACATTTATTCTGGGATGGAGGGAGTAGTTATTTGCCAATGTCACTCGTCATTGTAAAAATCTGAAGCCATTGATTTTGGTCCAAAAAGTCCGATTATCTAGTATAGAAGGATAGTCTAGACATTTGACAAAAGGTCAACAATTTCCTTGCTTGCCTAGTCGAATATTATGGAGCGAGTACCTTTCTGTTACAAGTTCATTAATTTATTCATCTTTTTCATTCTTTCTCCTTTAATTCCTATTAGGATCTAGCATATCACATCTAGAAACTGAAAGAAAACAAGTGCTATGCGTTGACAGATTAACAAGGTCAGCAGTGATCCCATAGTTTGACTTACCGGATTTTCCGGGAGAGTTGATACAATCCAGTTCCAGCCATCGCAACATTTACACTAAAAAGGTTCCAGTTTTTCTGTAATGAAGCATCAAAGATGATCAAGAAATTGAAATACAGAAAAAGGCAAGTTCTGCAAGAAGCATTTGTCTTGGCTGTGTGTGTATATATATACAGATTGCTATATTCGTCAGGGTCATTTAGCATTTTCATTTCATGGCTCCAATTTCCTTGGTATCGGGTAAAATGAAGATGGGACTCGCATGGAGGATGGAAAATGTTCAAACAATTACAACTAATACCAGCCAGATTAAGATAGTTGTTGCAGCCTCTTTTTGAATTTAAATCTTCGTAGATGAAATAAATCAGCAACTTCAACAAAAAAGTTGTATCGGGCATGAACTCTGTGCTGATAGAAAGGTTCATGCACCCTTTTGACACAATACATCCAAATATGACTCTTAAAAATCAGCAAAAGTACTCCCAAATCATAAAATCTATTGTTGTTCTCGTATATGAATAATACAAAGTACTCCCTCCAGTCTTGTGAAATTTGCAATATTTACTGTCCTAGGATGTCCCTGTGAATATTGCAATATTTTCTTTTTGGGAAGTTTTAATGGTAAAATTACCTATATGTCCACTATCATCATCACATATAAACTGATACTATTGATTGGGTTCCCAAGATTTCTTTAGTTAGCATGGATGTTACCTAATCTTCAATTATTTTACTCAACATTATGCTTTGGATTTTTATCCAATAAAACCTACACTATTGCATTGATATTCATGGATTAGAAATTTTATTCTTTAGAAGAAAAAATAGAGATATAACAAAACTATTGTTGCAAATTATTCTATATTAATTATTATTAATTTATATGCGGAAACACTACAAGTACTTGTCAAAAAACGAATTGTTAGTTTCGATTATATATTATGAAAAAATAAAAGAACTGCTAACGGGGTCATACACCATCATTAGGAGTATAGGTGAGAGAGCTGGCTCGTGAAAACCACAAGTTGAATCCAAGCCTACCATTTTTCTCACAAGCTCGACTTGGCTCAAGTAACCTTTAATTATGATACATGATTACTTGCAATTCATCAGTATTGTTTCATCATCCAATGGAAGAGATGCCATAATTAGCTAAGCTTATAGACCTTGTTATCTAAAGTGTCCGAAAGAAGCAGAACTAGAATGGCTACCAATCGTTAGTTAAGCTTATTGTCTATAACAGCATCCAAGCATAGTTACAACTAGTGAGTTCTAAAGCACCTTGTTTCTAAGTAGCCCTCTTCATAGGCCAACAAAAATCTACAAAATTTCTTGTCTTTGAAAGGTTTGGAGCAACTTTTAGGGTTGAGTCATGGATTCCCATTGCATGTACACTATTTCTTTATTTCAGTAAGTCTCACTGGAAATTACAATAGAAAAAAAAGTAAGGACGAGAATTATTTTTGCTCAAACCTCAAAGAAAACAAAGACACCCTGAGCATAATACTCTGTTGTAAGAATAATGTGTGACACATGGATAACTAGATTATACGATCCTAACAGATTGAGGAGACAGGTGTGTGCTTATAATTGTGTGCGTAAACATACATGCATCTAAAAGCAAAACAAGAAAAGGAAAAACTATTAATTATCTCACAATCCATGCACCAAAATTTAAGATAAAACATCCTTGTTTAGGGTTTAGGGTAACTTAATCCTTGTACAGTTGTACTTAAGTTCTCATTTTACTTTTACATAATATGTCATATTAGGCCAACTTATCATCGACTCCTTTTTCTCATGCAGGAATAAGATGTAAATCTTACTTTAGAGTGTTACCCATGCTTTGTAACTTGTAATTTGTAAACTTTCATCTCTGGTTAAAAACAAGAAAAAGAACCTTCCTTTCATACTTCTTTTATTTGTGGACTCTGGACAACAACTCAACATTTCAGCGATTTTGTCAATCAACACCTTCAAGTTACCCTTTTTTGGGGGAGAAGGGGGGGGGGGGGGGGGTGCTTCCTAAGGAAACCAGCAAAAATCCCTTTCTGGTTTTCTTCTTTTACAACCATAATAAGTTCACATTATGAACTAGGGAAACTTGAGAGGTCTGCAGGAATGCTGCATCATTTGATCTACACCTCGAAGTTATTCATCCATTATGTAATAAACACTCTTTCTAGTCCGTGCATCCTAAAGTTCCTCAAGTATGTAAGCTGAGTTGATCATGAACAACAGTATGCTAGATTGATCAAGATGAACCTGTCTGTTCCAAGAACTTAGAGCAGCAAAACCAAAAGGATTTCAAGTTAAAAATTATGCACATTATCATCATTACGAATAAGTTGCTGGTGTTAATTAGGGTAACAAGATTCATTTATCTGTCTTTGTCGAAGGGTATTTCAGACATTTGATAAACAATCAAATATCTCACTTAAACTACATGTCAAATAAAAGTATGAAACATTAAATTTTTGATGTTACAGATAAAGTAAAAGAATAAGAATTTGACTTACCGGAGTGATTACGGTGCTGTAGCGAGACCAGATAATACCAGTGGCCGTGACAGCTGAAAATAAATGAAAGAGATAAAAATTGGAGCAACCGTTTAACTAATGCTCCCTTCCTTCCCAAAAAAACAATTTCTTATATGATTCTACAATTTCAAACCCCCTATTTGCTTTCCAAATCCAAAAACTGACATTGAATTTCAGTTTCTATCTCCAAAATGTTTCTGTCCTGATGCCTTTTATGTATGTTAAAGCAGACCCAGTTTCTCCAGGCAACCCAAAAAAGTTCAAGCCAAATTCTGAGATAAAAAACTAACCCTTTTTTCACACTTGAAAGTCAAACAGTTGTCCTTTTTTGGAGAAAGAAGGAGCGTAAGAGAGAACAAGAGGAACAAGGCAAGAAATAAAAGATTTGCATCAAACAAATACCTATTTGTTGTGGATATGAAAGTTTCTCGGGTGGCTTGGCAAAATCTGCAATATTAGCTATGCTGATCCCCCACTTAAAAGTTGGAGCCCAGAAATGAACTACAAGAACATATTAGTCAATTAATATAAGAAAATATACAAATGATTGGTGAAACAAAATTATTTACAATTTCATTTAAAGTTTAAATTATTAAGTCTCTCTCCCAGATCATCTTGTTAGTTCAGCTCTAAACGAAGTGATCAAAGTATGGCAGCCCTTGCCAAGACTCTCACAAGGTTAAGAGGTTTTAGACATGTAAAGTCAACCATACCACAGGACATCCCGCTTGAGTTTTGAAGCAACAAAATGTATTTTCATCATCGAAATGCTAGCTAGACAGTGGCTGTTATGAAACCTTCTGCTGAACAGAGTTTTTGGCTAAAACAATCAACCAAAAGACCCTATCTCCAAATATAGCACATTGACTTCCAAAAGTCCAAACATTATGTGTGTTCTTGGACTTTTAGTTTATCTAAAAGATTCAATTTTGTTCTTGTCCTCTTGGCTCACCCAATATTTTCATATGGTATATCCAAAGTTTACAAAAAGGAGAACATGTGGCAGTCAATGTGAGTATATAAAAATATCTAGCGATTCTCATAATAATAGAACTATAGAACAGTGAAATTTGGTGCCATTTTCGCACCTCTCCTTATTTGTTGGATGTAGAGTTTGATTAAATCTGTAAACCAGCCAGCCTTTGACTTCATAGGTTCTTTATAAGGGAATGATTCTTTATAAGACAGTTTCCTATCTTATCTTTTGTTGTCTGGTTTTCTTCTTAAAAAGGGATGTTTTCCTTCAAGTATTTGTAGTACTGCAAAATTTATGGAATATGATAGAATCCTAGCCACACCCATGAATGTATGCAAATACAATGTTCAATTTTTTCCGTTTCCTACAATTGCTATTGTGTGTGTGCATGATTATCCATTGTAAAACTATCGGTCATAGGCCTTGCAAGCCACATAAACAACTACGACATCAAAATTTTAGCTTCACCAAAGCAATGGAAAGTGTTACTTAGCTGCAATGATTGCAACTTGCCACCACTAAATTGTATAGCCTTTAAGAGCATCATTTTATTAATATAAAAAATACATAATAACAAATCTCAATCTCCTCCTCAATCATATTGCACCACCAAACTTGAATATTTCTTCAAAAGTTTTGCAAGCACAACTAGTTCAAGTCCTTACATGCATGCACATCATCTATGCTTATAAAGAATCCCATAAATTTTTTTATCTGCTGAAACCCAATAGGAACATACTCTCTTAAGTCTCTCTTAGTAAAACTACTTTGACTTTGAATGTTGATTTTGCATTTGCCAAATTTTATAATCACCATATGCTCTTTTACATTCTTAACATCGATTTTTTTATTTATTTATAGTACTTCTTGTGCTTTTGATGCATCTATGAGGTTTTCTTTCAAAACAATAATTATGTTCATGTCAATTTCGAAACTGAAAATAGTTAAAGTATGCCAGAACGGGTATTAAAACCCATACAATCCAGTTCCCACCCTTCCAAGTTCATTATCACTTCCTATCATTCCCTCACTTCACAAAAAAGGTGCAACACTTTGACTTTGGTGATCAAACAGGTTGTTTGTCAACTCTAAATTTACAATAAGTTCTGAAAATTTACAAGAAAATTTTGATATCCATAACAACCCATACTGAAATAACTATACAGTTAAATTTTTAATCGAAAATTGGAACCAAAACCTATATCCTCTTTGCATTTGAGAAGAATTACCATTGACATGGAAAGTCAAATTGTGGCACATCACTGAAAACCCATATGATAATCTCAATAACTCATACCACCACACACAGATGCTGACCTACTTCAGGAGATACAGAAAAACTCAAATATTTTTGCCATCGAACAACATACAAATCAAATCATCAACCGAACCTAAAACCCCCAAAATTCCAAAAACAAGCACAAGCAAAAAAAAAAACCTAATTTGACATGATTATAACGATTAAAAGCATCCGGAAAGCTAAAACGGAAGAACTCACTAGTTTTGGGACCAGCAGGGTGGTTCCAGAGAGCCTGTAGTTTCGATGTCGCCATTGAAAACTCTACTTTCTCTCTCGAAAATCTCAGGGAAAATGTGTAAAATGTTGAAGAAGCGCATATCAACTACACCATTGGTGGGTGTATGAGATTTGTTATTATACACGCGCGACCACCTCGACTACTGCTCCCTCGTTAAGCCTCCAATCATATAATTCCACGTCAGCATTTCTAAATTCTTTTTTTGCTAAATGCTGCAAAGTATTATGCAAACCCCCCAACGACGACTTTGAGATTAGGGGCTCTTGACCCTCTAGTCTAGGCTCTAATATTTTTTTGTTTTCATTTAATTTTTGAAATTATACCAAATATTTTCATAGTTTGTATATAGAGATTGTTTGTTTACCTTTTAATAGTTAGACAACATTTGTAATAAGTGAATCTTGTTTGACAAAAAAAAAATTATCTCTTAATGGTTCTAAAACCTTCTAAATGATTTTGTATCATGTTCTCCCTTAACCATTTAGTGTCCTTATTTCATTGTAAACAATTATCAAATAATTATATTTCATTTTGCACTGTATTATGAGAGTCTCTTAATCATTCTGCACCAAACCATCCAGCAATTGCGAAACAACCCCTTAGTCAACAAGGGTTAAGTTCATGTAAGACCAGCATGTTTTTGTGAGACCCATGAGACCATTTTTTTACGCTTGAAACTTCACATCAAAACATTGTGAAGGAAAAAAAAAGTTGAACCTTTACAGCAAAAACACTCTGAAGAATACGTTGGTGACATCATTTTAACTGGATCTAATTCCTCCCTCCTAATGCCTTTAATTTCCAAAATTTCAGCTCGATTCTCCTTAAAAAATATTGGACACCTTTCTTATTTTCTTGGCATCAAAGTCTAACCCCACACCCAAGGTCTCTTCCTCAACCAACATAAATACATTCAAGATCTTCTTCACAAAACCAATATGTCATCTGCTAAATCTACACCTATTCCCAATGCAACCGAGTTCTGGGCCATTATGGGCAGTTTACAATATTTGTCACCAACTCGTCCAGATATTGCTTTTTCTATGAACAGATTATCTCATTGCATGCATAAACATATTGATCTTCATTGGGCTGCATTCAAAAGGTTACTACAATATCTTGCAGGCACTACCAATCAGTGTATCCTTCTACACTGCAACTCCCCCAAATCTTTACATATCTTTATCGATGTTGATTGGGCTGGCGCAAAGATGACTGTATCTCTACAGTAGGATCTGATGGGATTTATAGGAAACTTTAAAACAATGTTATCAAAGATAGCAACATAAACATAAAATAAACTTACACGATTTTCACAAAAAAAAACTCCCAACAAAAATTTCATGCATTAAAGAACTTAGAAAAACGGAAAACACAACCATAATGGGTTTTAGAACTACAACCTTTGAAGCTTGAACGTTGATGTCGGGTAAAGAAGAAAATTAGATCTTTCTTCAAAGTTAATCCACACCAATCAACCTCTTTTTGAATGTTAGTTCCTTGCAACCCAAACTAGTGTGTTTTTATCTTTACATTTGGAATAAAAACCAAGTATGTATCTCCTCACTTTTTTCCTCAAGAATTCTTTCTCTAAAGTCTCTAACACTTTGAATTTTAAAGAGAAAACTTAGAAAGAGTTAGGATAGCATGAGATTATGTATTACCTTCTTTTTATTGAACCACCACATATATATATATATATATATATATATATATATATGATAGATTCAAAAAGAAGAAAAGACGAAATAGAGGGAGGCCATGTATCCCAACATGCTTCTTACATCCCATATCTTGTCCTCTTTTGTTTAATATTTTAAATGTCTTTTGTAGCGTACTTGGAAGCAACCAATACACTTAAAAATCAACTAATAAACAGCCTAGAACCAACCATAGTTTTATTAGTTAGTTATTAGTTATTTCATATAAATTTTATATCAAAATAAAAAAAACTTATATAATTAATTTCACACATAACAAATTAAGTGTACATTTAAAACAATGAAAATAATAATATGTATCAAATACATCTTAGACTTAAACACTAGTCAAAATATATATAACATATATTTTATTATTATCAGAAATTATTATTTCGATTAAATAATAATTTGCATGACAATTGTTTGGATTGAAAATGATTCGATCGTATGATTGATGTTAATTTGCTTGTATGTGTGTGACCCTTTGGGATCGTGTATCATTAGCCGTATTGTCAAGTTTAGTGTCATGGGCATATAGATCCAACAATATTGTGTCTCTTGGTAGGAAACCGATCTCATGGAGTTCTCGCAAGCAACAAACTCATGCTCGATCAACAACTGAAGCTGGATATCGAGCCATTGCCAACACAACTATTGAGGTTCTATGGGTTCTTAATCTTCTCGATGAGCTGGTTTTAAGCCTACCATTCCTCCAACTATATACAATGATAACAAAGGTGCTACTCACGTTGCAACAAATCCAAAGCGTCACTCCATAATGAAGCATCTTGCTCTAGACTATCACTCCATAATGAAGCATCTTACCCGGTAAGAGCGAAGACAAGAATTGAGAGTCTTACCCGGTAAGTGAGGACGATGACTCTTACCATGGTTAGCGCTTACCGGGATAAATTGTTGCATACGATGCGTTTTAGTGAATAAAATCTTGTTCGGTAAGTAAGCGATAATGTTGAATTTTACTGATAAATGCTTACCAGGTAAGTGTTTAGGTAAACGGCCCCTTAACCTATTGGACATTTCAACTTTCATGACATCACATGTTCGATCCTTCTCTTGACTTTTCATTACATTAAGTATATTTTTAGAATATTATAACATATTTAGATGCAAAAAAATGTCGTTATTATGGATAATCATCTAAAGTATAAACTCTTAAACCGAATAAGTCGTTTGCGAAATCAATAATATTTTTATTTTTGAATAAAATATAAATATGAAGATATCACAAAAATTTGAAAAAATATATTAATGTTAGTACAAAATTAGCTATTTATATTTTTTTGTGTATTTTTTTATTTTTTATTTAATAATATAATTTTTATATCAATAAATAATTAAATATCTTGTTAATGATGATCTTAATTATATTTTAGATTTTTTATATTTAAAATGAGATGCGTATCCTCTATTTTATTATGATTATCTGCAGTTAGCTATACGAATTCAAACATGAAGTTTTAATAAGTTGTATTTACACACATTTTACTTGTGATCTTGAATTTTAAGTAATATGTATCAATAAACAATACTTCATACATAAAAATGATTTTTAAGAGTTTTTGTCAAATGTTTTATAATATAACTATAAGGTACTCGTAGAATGCAACGAGATCTATCTTGATTTTAATATTTTGTTTTATCTTTATCTCAGGCGATGCTATATTATGATCATAAGTGATTTTGAAAATACGATAATTTTTTTATTTTTTAATAAAATATAAATTTGAAGATATCATAAAAATTTGACAAAAATATATCGATATTAGTATCAAATTAACTATTTAAAATTTCTATTTTTTGTGTA